TTTTTAGACTGAGTTTTATTAATTTCAGTGTACAAACTGAATAAAAAAAAGGCAATAATAGTGAGTTTATATAATTTAGATTTAGACATTTAAGCTTTTTCTAATTCATCACGTGAGGCTGCATCACCTGCTTTAATAAAAACCATCCTTTGTTTTAACTCTGCTGGAATGAGCTCCATGTGAGCAGATGTTCCTCCAGGTGGCGCTAGATGATAACTGAACAAACAGGGTTTCAGAAAACAGGGGAAAGTGGTCAAAGCTTTAATAGAAATAAATGTTAAAGTGATTTTATTCATTAAACAGCTGGATTCCTCTCATTATATTACACCATCATTAAAACAGGAGTGAAACAATCACCCTGTTTGAAGATTTAAAAGAAACTTTTTTCTCTCTTCTTYTATAATCTCTCTGGTCTGCCAAGAATATCCTCCCACACCATGGCCTGATTCTGCTGCAGTGTCCCCCCCCCAGCCAAAAAAAGAAAACAGACCTAAAAATGTCCTCTCAGGAGGAGGATGGAGGCTGTTCAGCTGCTGGAAACAGGAGAACTCCTCAGGCTGAACAGAAATAAGCTTTTATTACGTATTTTTAAAAAAACGTGAACAGAAGAGGGATGCTGAGATTCTGCTTTGGCTTTTCTAAACTTTTTATCAAGTTTACCCTGGTTTTATCCATAAGAAAGCTCAATTTATTTGCTAATAAAGAAAATTAAGATAAAAATCAAGATTCTGACGCTTTTATGTTATAACAGCATCTCTGATATAATTACAGTTTTCTGGTCCACATTATAGTTTTCACCTGATGCACAGTTTAATGAGATAAAGATTTCAGCTTCGTTTTATACAAGAGGGGCGACAATATGTAGTAAATGTCAGACAAAAATCTGCACAGCCAGTTGCATCATTTCCTGTTTTATTCTTTGAAACAAACAAAAAAGATTGAGTGAGTTTTGCAGACAGAAATAAAAATAAATTCGTTCAAAAACTCAAAATACAAAAGAGCAAACTTAGAAGTGAAAAGAGCAGCAGTCGACGCCTGATCCTGCAGCTTTACTTCACTGAGTAAAGTACGTATTAATGCAGCTTTTATCCTTCACTAAAGACAGTCTGTTGTTTTTGTTTGTTTGTTTGTTTGTTTGTTTGTTTGCTTCAGGCTGCAGAGAAAGTCCAGACAGACAGAGGCACAAAAACAAGGCTGCGATTGAAATGACAACAAAAAGGAGGAGATTACACAACTTTTAGTCACTGATCCAGCAGATAATATCATTACAGGAGATCCAAACGGGCCCCTGGTACTGAATGGGTCCCAGTTTATGCGATGGAGAACGAGAGCATCGGTTCACTTGCCTTAAAGTGCCTGTGACATCACTTTATTGTAATAAACATGAATGCATTTTTGGAAAGATAACATTGAYAACATAWTGTAAAAAAAGATTTCACTTTGCTGAGATGAACAGATGTTGAGATATTTGCATGTGAAGTAACAGGAAGTGATGTCAAAGGGGAATATCGGAGGGTGAACAGAGCAGTGCTACAAAGGCCAACAACACCGACTGCAGAGAAAAATCTGATGTTTCTTTAGATTATTTCAATCACCGTCAGAGCGATGAGAAAAAGTCACAATATTGTTTCAATAAACAAAAAACAGGAAGTTTTCTTTCTCAAAGAGTTCCCCTTTGATGTCACTTCCTGTTTCACTTTAGCTGAGCCAATTTCAAAAGAAAATATGCCAACTACGTGACATAACGGGTAAAATCATGTGCATTATGCCAAGTTTCTCAAATATAAATATATTTTCTTTTGTACTTTTTGTTTTTTATGGATATGCATGTCACATCAGGAGCTTTAACAGTTAAAAATCACGGACATCAYGCGTTTTAATGGTAAATGCATCTAAAATCAAAGATCCTGTCCACCTCGTTTTGTGAAAACTAACTCTCCGTTGACAGAAAAGACATTTTCTTTTCTAAACCAGGAAAAGAAGCTCGGAYGTACCTGAGTATTCTCATAACTCCTCTCAGTTGCTGGTGTGTGAGGCGTCATTAAAACGTGTTTTCGTAACAAACAAAGAAACCAGGTCTGATTTTCTTAATCGCTGCTTGGGTTGTTTGATGATTTTTAAAAAATATATAGCTTTAAATGTGAGATTTATTGTATTTTTTTCACCAGCTTCTCTTCCCTGAGCTGTACTTTTAGGGTAAAAGGTGTTGTTTGACATCAGTAAGCAGTTTCCTGAAGGGTTTCCTCCAACTCTGCTTAACAGGAAATCTAAGAAGCTTAAACACTAATGCCCAAATGGCCCCAGGTATACAGGGAGGAAACAAAGAGCCTTTAAAATGCTGTGGGAACCAGCCACAAGGTAAGAAAAAACAAATAATCTCAGAAAAAAAAACTGATTTAAATTAGAAAACACTTTTTTTTWAAACTTGGAATGGCTTCAGTTTGCCAGCTGAGAAAACATTCACAAATATTCTGTAAATATCAATAAAGATGAACCCTCTTATTAGAGGGAACATAAAGAAGCCACTGGTTCCAGTAGCAGGCATCCATGATGTTCTTTTTGTTCTCCAACACAAAGGGAACGGTTTGGTGTCCTTCTGAGGCACCAGGACAACAAATCTGTGCAAAGGAAGGAAACTAACAGCAGCATTATTGGCATAAAGTGACTCTGAATCTTTAAAAAACTGATCCAGACAAACAAAACCCAGTTTCTTGTCAACATCCTGACATGAGCAGATTCCTCCTTGCTTTGAAGATGATYCGGRATCAGACACAACAGGTCCACRTTTAGTCCCAAGTCCTCAGCAGCGGTCTCCTGTCAGCAGCTCTTCAGGTGCGGAAGCGCCGCGAGTTTGTCAACTTTCCCCAGAGCGGCGGCGCTCTCCACCCCCTTCAGCCACTCTTTGCACTTCCTCACCACGGTCTCATCCACGTCCCCGTCCTCCTCCTCGTACTCCACGTCGTCGTACTTGTGCTGGTCGTTGAGCAGGGAGATCTTCACGATGGCCGTGATGTCCTGCTCCGCGCCGCCCTCGCCCTTGTTGGCCCCCGGAGCGCAGCACTTGGAGCCGCCGTGCGCCTTTTTGGACGGGAAAACCCGCCTGTGCCGGAAGTCCGCGGAGGCGCAGCACTTCTGCTGCTTGGCCATCATCTGCTTCTCCAGGTTGCGCTTCTGGATGACCAGGATGGCTTCCGGGGTGAGGCTGAGGGTGAACTGGAGCTCCTTCTTCTCCTCCTCCTTTCCCCGGAGGTGTCTGGCGGAGTCCATGGAGCTGGAGCGCCGGACTCCTTGCTGTGAATCCTGAGGTTTGGGCACYGACAGCCACGAGCCTTTTCCCTGAGTCTCTTGCCCAGAACCGGGTTTTTGAGCTGGGCTTTTAGTCTTGTCCAGTTGCGCCCTGCGCCCCAGATTCCGTAAGTTGGCGGAAGCCCAAGAACTGGACTGTTTCTCCTTGTCGGAACCGACAGATCTGCCGGTTTGTTCGGCCTGAGGGGGGTCYCCGCTGGCTTTCTTCTTCCCAAACAGATCCCGGCCGGGTGAGGTGATCCGCTGCTGGAGGCTGATCGGAGGAAAAGGCATTCTTTGGGTCGGGATGGATCAGGACCTGAAAAGCAGCAGTGCGTAATGAAGCGACGAGCGGCGCTCTGCGAGCATCATCCACCTGCTGTCCACGCGACCCGAGCTTTAAACTCGCGCGCACGCTCCCGCTGCTTTATGCTGGCGCAGACAGAGAGGGGGGCGTGGCCACGAGCCGCGCCACACAAAGGGCGAGGAAAAGCCTGGTGACGTAATTTCGTCATGTTCGGCAACTTCCCATCAGCACAGCGAGACACGAGGTATGGCAGGCCATTTTAACATAAAATCAACTTTACCTCTGTCACATCCCAGGTATCTGAAATTGGTTTAAGACTAGATATTTTAGTTATTTAAGACCTTTTTAATTATATTTTGAATAGTCAAAATACCTATTTGAGATGTCTCTAATTACATTATGACTAAATTAAGTCAACTTTACCATCAAGTTGAATAGAGGCTCCAATAACCCTACTTTTTGTAAGATTGTTTGTTTTATATAATGTTTTTATTTGTTAATGATGTCTTATTATTTTATTCTATGCTTTATTCATTTGTTTTATTGCATTGTATTTACATTGTACGGTGTCCTTGAGTGCCATGAAAGGCGCCTTCAAATAAAATTATTAATGCAAAATCGCTTAAGAATTTTGTATCTCTAAGTTAGTTTTGACTTATTTGCTTTCAATACATCTTCAATATGATTGTAAGCAGTCATAAGTCCAATTAAAGCYATCTTAAATGACATCATTATTCAAGATCTTTTAAATGTATTTTTAGACATCAGATAAAAATTTGTATATACATTTAATTGCAAATATTTTGAAATCAAACATTGACTAGGCAAAAGACTGTCGACAAAATTCCTTAAAAGGTATCTCAAAATGAATTAAACATATCTTAAATTATTTTTCTATTTAAGATTTCCTAAATTACCATTTTGACTAATAAAAACATCACAGATTACATAGCATTTCGGTGGAAAATTTAGAAGGTATTTTAGCTTCATTAATTTATTGTCTGTCATTGTAGACAGGCATCTGTTTGGTCAGCTTAATGACAGCATGGGGGCTTACTCGCAACATCTTATTTCATCTAAAAATGTAATTTTGACCAGTTATAATTACATTTGAGATATCTTGGATTGTAATTACAGATGTGTGGCCCTGACGAACGTGGTGACGTCATTTCAGATATCTTGAATTTCGTTTTGTCTAGACAAAATTCCTTTTAAGATATCTTGAATTATTCTTCAGACTAGTCAGAACATAAAAGCAGAGATCTTAAATTATCATAATCAAAATATAGTTGTTTCTTGTCTAAATTTAATTTTAGATATCTATGTAATTACAAACGGTCAGACGAAACCAACTTTATGTTAAAATGGCCTGCCATACCTGTCTCCTTTTACACCATGCTTGTCATTCACACTCTGAGCTCAGTCTGTTTAATAACARTGATAATTTCAGACCGTTTCTGTGACGTGTTTTAGTCAATTTTAACCTAAATGAGTTTCTACAACACAAATATAAAACTATATTTTTTCATTTATATCTTACATTGTTCARTGAATGTGAGGATGAACACACTAGACATCACAAGACATCAGCTGGCCCACCGACTCCCTCACTCACATGCATAAACAAAACAAAGCACCTACACCGCTGGCACAAATATCGTTTTAATCTCCGCAGCAAGATCTGGAACGTTAAGCTGAAAAGGAAGCACACAAGTGTAATTCCAGCTGTTTGTTGTTGTTGTGCACAATCCCTCTCCTCTGTGACATAACAGATTAGATGAACTGGAGGAAACAGACGGGACRCTAACAGATCGCTGGGGTCAGGTCCTCTTAAACCTCCAAATTAAAAATAATCTAAAAATAAAATTCTTCTGCTCATTAAAAAAACCATTAAAGGGGCAATATCATGTAAAATCAACTTTTTTGATCATGTTGTTATCCTCTCATCAAAAACATGCCCAGTCTTGCTTTGACTCATTCATGCATGTTTGAGAAATCCTGTAGTGTCCTGAGGCAGCAGGCAGGGCAGCAAAAATGACTGGTTGGGACTAGGACCGCCTTTTGGGACTAGGACCGCCTTTTGGGACTAGCCAAAAAAACACAGCTTCAAAATTGCAGTGTTTCCATTAAGTAAGAAACGCTATTAAAGTCATGCGTGAATACGTTTGTTCTTGTGATAAATCATTACAAACATGGTAGCAATGGATGTAAACACATAGCATATTGCTACCACAACACTAGCGCTCATCATCAGCCATCAGAGGAGACGTCAGCGTCTTATCGAGGCTTTCCAGCGACAAGCCCCTTATACTTGGGAGCGGCTACGTATGCTGTGTTTTTGGGAAATTGTAGTCGGTCATTTTACTACTACTTCTACTTTCCTGTCCTGATCAGATACTCAGTATCGGTATCGGTGGCAGATATGGCCATTTTTTTTGAAAATCGGGTAGTATTGGATTTAGTCATGTGATCGGGCCGATTCAGTTTTCACGAGTTTTCAGCATCATCAAGCTTTACAACTGCTGTTAAGAAGTCAAGAAGCAAACACGTATGCAACCATGTCCACAGCGTGGGAACACTTCAATGGAAAACAATGATGCTGAAACTGCTCTTGGTGGGAACAGCAGGGCTTGCTTATACCAACCTTGTCACTTAGAAAGAAATAAAGCTATTGGATCGGTATCAGAAAGACTAATCATTAAAAAAAATCGGATTGTATCGGGAGCCAAAAAATCTGGATCAGGACATCCCTACTTCTACTTCCTGTTGTCTTCTTCGTTGTCTTTTTCGCCAGTAGAAACAGCCGGTTGTTGATCACGTGACTACTGTGATGTGAAAAAAAGTGTTTCTTTTGCAGTTTTGCGAAATACACCAATTTCAATACGTCCAAAAAAACCACCTCATCCTAGCGAAAAACCATTTTTTTGAAAAACTTTTTTTTAAATTGACGTGTTTCTATTAAGCAAATTTATTTTCAAAATTCTAATTTGCGCATTTTCATGGTCAATGAAAACGCAGCTATAGACACTTCATTAAAGGTATAAAATCTGAATATGTGACCCATCATATC